GAATCGCTGTAGTGCTAGATCTTCAACCAACTAACTCGTAAATATAATATGTATGTAGTTTACTGTGGAAAAACAATAAACACCGAAAACTAGAGAGAGCAAAAAGGATCTGTGAAAAACAAAAATGTAGAAGAAAAACAACATCAAGTTGCATAGTGTGACATCAGCAAACACGCAAACAATCGTTATAAACACTACGTACATACATATCTCCGTAAATTCACTTGAGAATGCATGCGCCATTTAATATATTACGTCTAAAAAGTTGATGCAATCCTAATGCACTTAAAAAGGTTAAGGTCAAGGAGGTTTCAGAATCAGTGACCAGGTATCCTCTGCTTGCTCTGAGTCGCCAGTACGTCAAGGATATACGTATAATTTGTATACTGCGTTTTGGAACATGTTACATTTTGCCTAATAATTTGTTTAGCAGTTGAACATCTTCTTTAAAATACATTTTCTGTCCTAAAAACACCGCCGAATCATAATGCAAGCAAATTATTTCCTCTAACCGACGCCATTTTCATGCCAGCAAGCATATATATACAGGGTGTTTCACTTTATTGTTGCATAACTTCGAGATTCGATAGAACTTTTAAAATTAATGCATAAAGTCTATATAAACATGGGTCGAAAAATGCGTGGCTTCCGAAATACAGGGTGTTTAAATTTACTTTCTAAAATAGTTTTTTTTAAATATTTCGAACAATATTCGATGTATAACAGTGAAATTTGGTATACAAGGGTTTTTTTGGTACGACAAAACGAATCATGACCGAACATTTTTTCTTAGTGCAATTTTTTGCTTTTTGAATAAAAAAACTGATTCTTCGTACTTTTCAACATAAAAAAGCTCTCTTGTGAATTTTCGTTATAGTTAGCCGTTTTTAAGATATTTCGATTTCTAAGGTTCGATGCATTTGAAATGAAATGAAATTCAAAGGTTAAACGGTTGACAGTTAGTTTTGTTGTTTGTTGAAACCTGAAACGTTTTTTTGCAAATGTGAATGCACGAAATATAGTTTCTTTTACCTGTTTTTTTTTGTAAGTTTTATTAAAATGCCATTTTTATTCTCCAATCAAGAGTTAGCGGATATTCATTTTGTGTATGGCTTTGTAAATGGAAAAGGCAGCAGAAGCAGCCAGAGAATAACGCACGAAGATTTCCAAACAGACGACATCCAACTCGCTCAGTATTTGTAAAAGTGCAGCGCCAAGTAATTGAAAATGGTTTTGGAAATCTCCAAAGGGGTCAAAACATAAATGTTCGTCAGCGCAGATTTACCCGTATGATTCTGCGTGAGTTTGATAGAGATCCGACCACAAGTGTTAGGAGAGTTTCTGGTGCATTGGGAATTTCAGCAAGCCATGTTCACCGTGTTCTTAGAAATGACCATAGACGTCCTTACCATTTGCAACCTGTGCAAGGACTACAGCCAGGGGACGAAGAGCGAAGAATCTCATTTTATCAGTGGACTCTTGATAGAACTGATAATAATAGGGAGTTTTTAAGTAACGTTTTATGGACCGATGAGTCATGCTTCACTAGACGTGGAGTGGTAAATTTTCATAATCAACATATTTGGTCGCATGAAAATCCGCATGCAGTTCGGGAAAGAAATTTTCAGCATGAATTTAGTGTGAAAGTGTGGATTGGTATCTACCATAATCGACTATTTGGACCCTACCTTTTGCCTGCAAGGTTAAATGCTGCGACCTTCTTGGAATTTTTAAAGGCTGAACATGCAAATATGTGGGATGATGTTATGTTAGATTTAAGAAGATTGGCCTGGTTCCAGCTTGATGGTTGTCCAGCTCATTATTCGAGAATAGTTAGAAACTGGCTGGACAAAAATTATCCAGAAAGATGGATCGGCCGTGGAGGACCAGTCGCCTGGCTTCCACGATCCCCTGACCTAAAGCCATTAGATTCTATGTGTGGGGATTTCTAAAAGAAAAAGTGTACCAGATTCCCGTAACCACAAGAGATATGCTAATAGACAGAATCAGGAATGCATGTGATGAAATAAGGCCTTATTTGAATAATGCTATACCACGTTCGATCATTCGTAGATGTGAATTGTGTATTGAACAATTGGGCTTACATTTCGAGCAACTACTTTAGATTTTGTATGTTTGTCCTAACTATCCAATAGCATTTTAGTTGCAAATAATTAATTTAATTTGTTAAAAATAATATTGGAAAATTACACAAATTAATATTCTTTTTTTTAGTGTTTATTTGGAGCTGGGAATTATTGCTGTGTTTAAAAACACAATCTAAACGTTCATCTTAATTACTTGTAATGCCCAAGTCGAAAATGTAAAAAAATATTATTTTCCCATAAATACTTAAAAATGCATCGAACCTTAAAAATCGAAATATCTCAAAAACGGCTCACTATAACGAAAACTCACAGGAGAGCTTTTTTATGTTGAAAAGTGCGAAGAATCAGTTTCTTTATTCAAAAAGCAAAAAATTGCACTAAGAAATTTTTTTCGGACATTTTAATACACTAAAGGTACAGTAGAGAGCGCCCTCTAGCGGCTACAGTAAAACTATGACCATGGTTCGTTTTATCGTACCAAAAAATGCTTGTATACCAATTTTCACTGTCATACATCAAATATTGTTCGAAATATTTAAAAAAAACTATTTTAGAAAGTAAATTTAAACACCCTGTATTTCGGAAGCCACGCATTTTTCCACCCATGTTTATATAGACTTTATGCATTAATTTTAAAAGTTCTATCGAATCTTAAAGTTATGCAACAATAAACTGAAACACCCTGTATAGTCATTGTTAACAATTTATGACTAAAATATAAGCCATAAAAGCTTTCATGAAACGATGGAGGTATGATGGCCCTGAAATTTTGGATCAAAATGGATTAAGGTTTAGCTCTCCGACGCTTAAAGTAACGTGATCGGCTTAGTCGACCAAATTAATGTTCGTCCGCAGAGGCTTTTTGTATGTTATCCAAAATCTAAACATGCACGATACATACAGGACGACCCACAATAAAAGTGACCAGCTTAAGATTGTAGCTGTTTGGTAGAAATACGTGGTGCTGCACAAAGAATATGTCAGGGTTTTTTATGCGAATATACTAATAAAACAACATACGCTTTTTTATCAATGATTTTCCTGAAAATGTGTGTATCATGATGCTTGAAATGAGTCATCTAATTGGGTAGTACAATTTTTTGTACGGGGTATCCGGCTATAAATTAACCCCTCTCTCAAACTTCTTATATGACCTTCCAGAAGGAAAAGCTATAGGGTCTAATATGAAGTTTCCCATGTAGTATTTTTTGTCTCAGAAAAGTGCAATCGAATAAAGGTTGCATTTTTGAAATGTAATACCCTATATAATTTTAGAAAACATGATAGTCCCTTTTTTCTGATTCAAAATATATGTATATGGTTCATCATCATTATTCTCATTGCTTTGACCAAAAGCTTAAAGTTTGTGTGTTATTCACCCATGTTGTGTATCCGAGTTCGAACCAGTTTACATCTAGCCGCCCATGGAATCTCGTATAGGGCCGGAATACCTATAATTAAATGAAACACAACCATCAATTTTTTGACCAAAGTAATAAAAATAAGTAAATATTTCCCTCTGAAGCCACACAGATACTGAAATAGCCTTCAGCTGGATGGTCACAGGCGTTTTAATGCTTTCGACTGTTCCAAAATGAGTTCCCTTGAGGTGATTTTTGAACCTGGGGAAGAGAAAAAAGACACAAGCTCTCAAATCAGGTGAATAAGGAGGTTGACGAGCGACAGGAGTATTCTTACTGGCCAAAAACTCGTTTATTGACATTGCTGTGTGACAAGGAGCATGATCGTGATGCAAGACGCAGTTGTTGATTTGATGAACGATGGCTTGAGTCAAATTTAACTCTTTCCCGATCTTTCTGACTGTCAACCGTCGATCTAAGAGCACGATATTTCGGATTCTGTCGATATTTTCATCATTTCTTGAAGACGAAGGCCTCCCGCTTCGTGGTCTATCTTCAATCGACTCTCTCCCTTCGAAAATGCCTTAAACCACCGAAAAACCTGAGCTCTTGATAAAACGCGATTTCCGTAGGCCTGTTTAGCAAGAGTTTCCGTTACACTGTGAATAAGTCTGAAGCAAAACCTGAAAGCACACCGTTGCTTGAAATTGATGTCAGTCAGTCTTAGAACACATTAGAAAAAACTTTCACTTTCCACTGACGGCCCTCCAAGCCCGGCGCCGCCAGTGTTACTAGATCGAAGGATAAGGGTTAATTTTCAGACCTCGTATATTTTTTCTATTTGAATAGCTACAACTATATTCGATAGCACTTTTCTGAGACATCACGTATACAAAAAATATTACATGAATAACTTCACATTAGACGCTATAACTTTTATATACAGGTACATCTTTTCTTTTAGTGTCATATAAGAAAGCTACAGGGAGGTCGATTCATAGCCGGACCCCTAGTACAAGGTATCATTAGTTTGTGTTTCTCAGTGGAACTTTATACGCCAACTGTATTACCAAATCATACGATTGAACAGTTTCACTAAGTAAGAGCATCTAAAATCTACAAGATCATATGAATCTGGATTGTTGAAAAAATATATGAAGGGTAACGGATTTTCATCAAACTGAAAGAATATTTATCGATCCTCTATCTGTGTGTCTTTGTTAAACACACCTGGAAGATTCCTTGTCGTAGACAGTTTTTCTTTAATTTTGTATTCTTTAGTGCAGCAATTGGAGACAACTCACCGAGATCAGCCAGCATATTTGACTGGCTCCATCACCAAAGCTTTTTACTTTCAAAATGATCTAGAAAAAGTGGTGAAATAAAATTCCGAAAGTTTAATTGTAACTTATTAATGGTCTCTACGACACTCGTTTGCGTTTCTGGTTAACAATTTAGGCTTGCACTCGTATATGTATGTACGTTGTGTTGAGCTAAGAGTGGGCATCGACAGATAAATGATTGGACGGACCCCGTTGTTTGCCGTTGATGCCGTTGTGAGAAGGAGGAGCTGGTTGCCTTCGGTAACCGGTGCTGTTACCGTTACCGTTACCGTCCTCAGGCGACTGCAGCCCACAACAAAAGTCCGCATCTGGAACACACCACACAAGACTACATACCAAACGAATCGAAACTTAACACATTCATACTCATTCTTGATTCAAACTCAGGGTATTTTTTTAACGACAAAGAAGTTCGCAAGTTGAGTACTTGGATGTTGACTGGGAAAGTCTATAGTGATTTAGTTTAATGTACCTTTTGCATTTGGTCATAATTTGTAGAAATGCGTCAAATTTATATTAAAGCTACCGAAAATCACATACTATACGGACGCTCAAAGCACTACGTTTAAAACCGAGAGAAAATGACGTATTTTTTGTAGTTATTCAAGGCGTTGGCAATGCGCTGTTAGGGCGGTTGCTATGGACACGATATTTAGATAACACTTATTACGAGGAAGCTGTGGCTCGACATCAGGGCCGTCAAATAAAGGTCTTCATCCCCAATAGTGCCATTATGCCAAATTGGACGCGACATAACCACAAGCTGTTCACTAATGTAGAGACTTGAATCTTTCGAAGCAGTGCACAATGTCAGATTGAATTATAAATATTTCAAAACTTGGCGTGGCTACTTATTTGGAGTTAATGTGAACGATTCTATAAAAATAGAAAAATGGAGTGATGTCATATTAAGGGTGATAGTGATTATCGTTTTTATAATCTGCACTACTAGAACATAATTTGACTACCGACGTGACGTTAGCGCAACTCTAAAGGTGTTTTAAGCCTTCGCATCATGTCACTTGATAAGGACACTAAGTGCACGGCATTAACGACGAAATACTTCTCATTCAGAGCATTGCGGCTTGTCCAATAGCATATCTAGTCACTTCAAACATGGCGGTGTTACTCTATTTGAAGTTGTGGCCGGATCTATATAAATATACTTTAAAAGAAAAAATACGTTTTCAAAAACAGCTTTTATTTAGCTGTTAATAAAACAAACTGAAAAATCAAAAATATTTTCCCGATTCGAAATATGTTGTTTTATACTTCTTAACCTCTAAACGACATTGATGCTCCTTCATCTCAAGAGTTCAAATAAGAGAGCGCCACACTCTTTTTTTCTTATTTGCTGTTAAAACGTAACGTCACGAAGACTAGAGATAGGAGATTAAACTCATAAAGGTCTATTCATACTCAGCCGTGACGTGTGTCAGTGCCAGTGATTCTCGTTGACGTGAGCTCACAATGTTTTCAATTCACACTGGTCAGTATTTTTCTCCGTGCTCTGACAGTGCAGTTGTGTTCAAGTGAGGTCGAAATGCAAACATTTTCAGAGGATGATCTTGCAATTATTGTATAAATTCTGAATTAAGAAGGAGAAGAAACGAGAAGAAAATGGTCCATGTATTTTGAATTTGCCTGGTTGTACAGCACGGGATGTGAGCGCACAAATTCAATTAATTCTTCAACATTCATGTTTTTGACCAAATACAGGTATCAAAATATCGATGATCACAGTACGGCGTCTTCGAGGGCACTGAGCTGAGAACACAGCCACTTCCACGTTCCGGTCTAGTATGAATCAGTTCATCCAAATTCCAGGAAGAATCTTTTTAGTTTCGCCGGGTGGATCACGTGCCGGTCTCAGCACTGTCACGTTACGGCTGAGTATGAATAGGCCTTTAGAAAGGAGGTGAAGCCAAAAATGTCGACGATGAAGTAAATTAGTACGCTGCACAGGAAATAAATTTTAGATACTGCGCATGTGGAATCTCTTTCTATTGCTGTCGTCATGACTAAACAATTCCAATTTTGACAGTTCGGACGAGTTGCAAGCTGAAATATTGGATTAAAATAATAATAAACCACAAAGTAATAAACCTACAAAGCATAGCAAAACGTGAGTGAAATGCATATTAAGATTTGCGGCAGGTTCTATTGTTTTTTTTTGACATTTTTCAATGTGCAGACGCTCTACGCCCACTAGATTTCCACGAGCCACAACATCCATTGCCACAGGATTGGCTTCATACGAGTTGAGTATCATTTACGAGGTTCAACCCCCAATCTGTAGTATTCGTGTGTAACACACAATACCAGCTTTAGATAGAAGATGGTTGTCATTAAAACATTGTTCATCATCATAAATGAAGAAGTCAACTTACAGTGGAGTTATTAGTTTTTTTTGAAATAAGTCACCGTGTCGGTCGAAATGTCAGTACGAATGTGTTCACACATATGTGGTTTGATTTGGCTAGGAAATATCCCTTATTGTTATCAGCATGAAAACCACAAGATAAGCTTCAGGCGTAACATCAAGTTTAGAACTTCAGTCGTTAAAAAAATATGTTGTCAAAGCTTCAACAAAGCTCTCGCCTTGACTCAACGATGCATTTGAAAATGATCTCAAATATTACCAGCATAAGCTAATCATGTTAGGTGAAGATGCATCAAATAAAAGTGCAAATGCAAGATCAAAATAAGCAACATAATTATAATGATATGAAGCAAATACTACGGAATACAATGATACCTTTGGGCAAAAACGCATACCGACCTCTAACGGGAGGTAGCAGTCTTTTGTCATAACGTGTGGCTAAGAGGAGCTGGTCCAAGATTTCTTTGTCAGATTTGCCCTCTTCGAATCTGAAAAAGAAATTGATAATATTTTGCTAAGATCGCCACATTCAAATAGGTGAACGCTTTTTCAATAAATGTCGTAAATGTCATTCAGGCATCCTTTGAAGAAATATCAATTAGAGCATCACCAAAGAGTAGTTATGTCAAGACACTTCTGGAATGTGCCCGAAAACAAATTTTCTCTTACATATTCGTGTACTGATATGATACGATAAAAAAAGAAAATAGCAATATTCCATGCACTGGGAAAAAAGTTAATTATTACAACTAAAGTATTATTTAGGCACATTAAAGAAATTCATTGACTATGTGACAGAAGCTTAGAAGTTTAGTTTAATTAGGCTCCGATTTCTAAAACAGTTTACTTGTATTTATGAAACTAGCTTAATTGAATCAAAACGCAATCGTTTAATTAAATATATTAAACCGTTCACTTAGATTGGATACACCAATTTATTTAGAATTAATGATCTATTAAAATGAGTTAACCTACTTCAAGTAAAACAATTTAATCGTATTTATCATTTGTTTAATTAGTGGAGGTGAAATTTGTCTACATTCAATGAATTATTTTATTCAGATTTATAAGTATATTTAGATAATATTTGGAATATAAACAACAAATTGCATTTTACTAAATGACGTGTATCATAACTGTTCGCGGATAAATCTAAAATTGGAAAATTTGATATTGATATTTTCAAATCAAGATTCCAAACTTTGTGAACCTAACAAAATTTGCTGTTTTTTATTTCTATTGATTATACATGGGATCAAGTTTTAACAATTATTTGTCTGATGGCCCAGAAACAGGTTGTAATCTATCACCATTCACTAGAAGCAATTCTTATACCAAATTCAGGAGTTGGGGAAAGGGAGACATGATACTGAATAAGGCTACTTGATGATGTGTACAAAAATTGTACTTTTTTTCTAGTAAAACAATATTGCACTCACACGCATTCAACGCATTTACATAATATGTAAAAAAATCGACATCACTTCAAACATTTTCAAATACTACAACGTTTGCACCAACATGAGATTCCACTTCCTATATATTCGTTATAAAATATACACACTGAATCAGATGATTTAATCAAAGCATTAAAGGTGATACATCATTTATCGTTGAACTATAAGTGCATCAAAAAAGTCTATGTATCGATATTCGGAGCAAAAAATATTCTAACCATGGTTCTGGGTCACTAAGAGCCTTATCCTCCAGTATCTACGAGCCCCTTCCCACTTCAGTTGGCCCAACTATTGAAATCTTAGTTTTTTTCTTATCAAACTCAAATAATAAAAACGTAGCAGGGTGTTATAGGATTAAAATATTAACAATGAATATAGAAAACACCAACTTTATCAATCCCTATCAATTTTGCAGCATAAAAATAACACATGTTGCAGTTACAGCATATCAACCTATTTTCGTTTCAATGCAAAATATGTCTATAACGCATAGGTGGCTGTGAAAAATAAAAGCCATGACAATTGTTTTTATTAATCACAGCTGTCAGAATACGTTTAAAATAGTTTTGGGTAGTTAAGGTTTCCAAAATGGGTAGAGGAAAGGTTACTAGTGAGAAAATTCGGTTACTGATAATTAAATTTTTTAATTCTGGGAAATCAAACTCAGAAATTGCAACTTTGTTAGACTTATCGCGCTACAGTGTGAGAAATATTGTTAGAAGATATAACGTAACTGGTTCAGTTAATATTAAGCCACGATATGTGAAAAAAGTAATATCACAAATGCCGACCGAAGAGCATTAAGAAGAAAAACAGGCGTGTCAGTTATTTACAATTAAGTGCTCTTTGGAGTGACGCTGTTGGAAGGAGAATTTCGAAGTCCACAACTCATAGAGAGGCCCACAAACTGGGATTTAGCACTTGCAAGGTAAGTTTTCTTATAAAAAAAGTGAAGTAAAAACCCTAAAATTGCACAACAAAAGCCACTATTAACTCCACCGCAAAAAAATCAGCTTAGATGGGCTAAAGAACATAGACAATAGACACCTCAACAATGGTGTGCAATACAATGGAGTGATGAGGCCCGATTCGAAGTTTGTGTTGGTGACAGTCGCAGTAGAGTTGTTCGCAAAAAAAAAATGAAGCATTTCATGTTGACTGTCTGAAGAGAAAAGTGAAATTTCCAGCATCCATTATGGTCTGGGGCAGCATGCCATCAAAAGGAGTAGGAAAACTTCAATTTATTGATGGAAATACAAATATTTGGCAATTTTAAAATAATCGCTTTTACCAGTGATGGATGAATGTTTGACATCCGGCCAAGATTTTGTGTTTCAGCAAGATGGTGCAGCGTGCCATACCTCAAAAAAGGCTATAAAATGGATGGAAGAAAATAATGTACCAGTTTTGAAATGGGTTTCTAGCAGTCCAGATCTGTCACCTATTGAAACTTTGTGGCACGAGATGAAAAAGGTTCTACGACAACATCCTGCTCGTACAATCACCGAACTGAGACAAAAGCTTCAAGAAATATGGGATTGTTTTACACCAAATTAACACTATGCCGCAAAGAATTTCAGCCGTAATAAAAAATAAAGGTGATGTTGCTTTGTTAACTTCGCGCATTTATTCGCACATTGTTTATTTGTTCAGATGTTCTATTAGTTATAGGTCTAAGTATATGTATTTTTTACGACTAGAGTGTATCTAAAATGTTTTTGAGGAAATAAATTCTTTTAGAAGTAAATAGTTTCGTCATGTTTAGTTTATAAAGGCATATTTTGGTACAAATCTTGAAGTGGGCCAACTGAAGTGGGAAGGGGCTCGTACACTTGATTAACATAATTGATCCACTACACAGCTACTATACCAACAACGAAAACATTCTAATATGTAACTCGTCATGGAAATCACAAATGAAACTGAGAAGTTCGAAGCGTCCCACCAGCACTGCACCTGTCGCTTATTCCCGATCACTCACGAATGTGGAGCCGAGCCCTGCCGAGTACACGATTTAAATAAACAGTTTAATTGTTTTTATTAAAATGTTTGCGTGTTTTGAATGTACCCTTTCTACATAAACTAGATTACCTAAACTAACAAACAGTTTAATAAAATAGATATATGGTTTGTTTCAAGCAAATTAGTTTAATAGTATATCACTTTCAATTAAGCTAGTTCCAGATAATTCAGTTAAATTAAACGGAATAATTTAGTTAGAATAATTAAAAAATTCATTTCGGTTAATGAAAATTTTCCAGAAAAACTGTTTAATTGATCAGGTTTTCCCAGTGTAAGTTGTCAAAGTGTCGTTCGATTGCATAGTGTTGTTCAAATGTTATTCCAGAATCATCGATTCACAAATTTAGAAAATCGCCAAGACACAAAAAAAGTCTTCGAACAGTCCATAAAATTACGCTTGAGCTTTGCTCCAGGGTTTTCAGACACGTGTCGATCATCATACGAAATCTTAGGAATAATCACGATGGAGGTTGAGGATTGGTCTTTTTGTGGAACGTTGTTGTCATTTTAAAAATAAACAATTTTCTTTAGAAGAAAAATGGACTCTGTTCTTATTACTTTCAATGAAATTGTTGCCATTCTACTTGGCAACGTAGCTGTGACGATGGAAGTTGTATGTGAACGTCTAAATATAGCATTAGGTTGAGCATATATTTGGTTTAGTGTATGATATAGGCATTTTTGTTTCTGAAAATTTGTCTACTCTAACTTAGGAGTGCTATTATGCAAACAATAAATATCCAAAATACGCAACTTTGCCTCAATTTTGCGACTTTGTATCTTTTACAGCTATTGAGATACCAATAGTGGGAGTCAAGTCTGAAACACTCAGTACTGGCACGCGAAAGGGTCATACTAGAGTTGTGGTAACTAAATCGCACCATAGGCCTGAAACAAAATGATAGCAGGATTCCTCCTTACCGACAACCACCCCTGATTATCTGAACCTGTTGCCATAGTTTCCATTCTGTTACTGTAGAATGGAAGGTACCAATTTGCTGACTATTTGAACCAAATTCCAAGGCTTACATAATTATAAGCTAGTCAATCGGCGCCAGAATTCGAATAGATAAGAAAGAGCCAAGCCTATATGTTTACATTGCATTGTTTGTCGCCAAATTGCGAAGACTCAGTGCATGCTTTTGTCTCATTTGACTACCATTGCCTACCAAAGTGACAGCGTTGTATCAATATAATAATAATACTTACCGGAGGAAATATCTTACTTCATTGGGCTTGTGCTACTTTTGCAAATTATATCTGGAAATCGTTCGACTCCACAATTATCTGCAAACAGTGACACTTTTGAAAAATTCACTAAAGATACGAATTTCATTAAAGAACTATCAAAAGATGACTCATGCCAAGTGCACTTTGATTCTCTTACAGTCCATGAGAAATAGGAGACAAACAAATCCTTGACTGGCTTTATTTATCTATTCTGAATTCATGATCGGCGCTAATTGCCGGTTAGCAGGAAAGCTGCTTTCGATGTATTTACGACCCTGTATTCACTTTGTCTGCTATCAGAATAATCGCATTAAAAATTACTGTTTTTGGTAGCTCGGTAATAAGATCAATAATATAACTAAGATACTTACATATCGGAAATGGCAATGGTATACCTAACGGTGACGATAAACAGCAGAGCAGCCACTCTTACCAGGAGCCAAGGCTGACCCATATTAGGACATCTGAAAAAAAATGATAATGAAACGACATGTAAAAATTGTTATATAGAAATGCATCATTCAACACTGAACAGAAAACTGTTAAGGAATCTCTCATATGGGTGCTTATGGTTCCTTCCTTATACGGAAGCTACTGCGTGTATATAGGGGCCATATACAAGGGGTCTTGACCTCCTCAAATTTAAGACATGTGTAGTCTCAATAAGATACTTCAAAGTGAAATCAGCAGGAGGTCATGTGTAATAGAGATAATAACTTGCATCGCGATACAAATTCCGAATCAGTTTCGAATGGTTTTGGTTTCAAACTATGAGGGGTCGATTCTATACGCACGCAGTTCGAAAATTTGTTGAATAGCGCGATAGCTTTGAAAGTAAATTATTTGAAACAATAGCATGGGAAATGAGGTGTCGCCCCTTGATTATACTATAGCATAGCATCAGTACCGGTAAAAAGTATTCTAAAAATGATATTTAAAAAACCGAAACTTTATCCCACTGAAAAATTATACGCAGATGTTCGAATGTATGATATAAGACAGCTTTATTTCTTACACAGTATCACTCACTACCATAAATTTGTAAACACCGACCAAAAAATTAAACATAATCATTATACCAGGTACAAAATTCTTGACACAGTAGTTCCTCAACCGCATAAATCTATAATGCAGCGATCATATCTCTATTTAGCGCCTAAATTTTATGAAATTATACCTAAAGACTTAAAAGATTTACGTTTCGGAAATTGTTTCAAAAGAAATTTAAAAAAGTGGCTACATTCTATATCTAGGACTGAAATTCATAAACTCATAAATACGAACATCAACTAAATACATAATCTACTGTAGCTATATTGTTTGTTATCTTTGTACATTGAGTGAATAAATATTATTATTATTATTATTATAATGTATCAAGATTTACAAAAACCGTAAGTTGAAATATGAAGTCGCAAAAATATGGAATGACAGAAGAAATCATTACCAAGAGTAGTTGAAAATTGTGTAGAAAAATCATGAACAGGCTAATGAAGAGAAATGGAAAGAGAAGTCGGAAAGAGTTTGCAATAGTGTTTGCACGTAGACAATGTAACTGTAAATAATACTACCACTAATAAAAAATACATAATAAACAATTTTTTATTTTTTTAATGTATTACAAAACATAATTTGTGTATTAGAATTATGTTTCATTACCAGCAAACCACAAATATTATATATACAGGGTGACTTCGAAGTTGAGTCATTTATTTTAACAGTGAGTAGATCTGATCAAAAGAAATGTTTTTTCCTTTACCATTTTTCTGGTAAAATTAAAGTAACAAAGTTATAGCCCTTTGGAAGTTTGAGTACCGCCCTGTCTCAATAATATCATGTGTTCGTGTTTGGCAACAACGGTTCATCGCATCGGAAACAAAAAAGCGAAAGAATTTGGAACGATGTTTTTACAATTACAATTCAGTTCAGTTATACATACAGTCAGTGTCAGTCGCGTGTAAATAGTGTCTGTTGCGTGGCTCAAACGAAATAAAAAATGGCACATGTTTATGCGGATCGGTTTCCCAATCGAGTGCAACCAACCCCTCGTGCCTTTGTTAATGTAGTACAACGGGCTCGTGAATCAGGTGTATATACGTATATACTTTGAAGTTGAGTCATTAATTTTCAGATAATGATTGTAGAAGGAAGATAAACCAAAATATGTGTGTAAAAATAAAAAAATAAATAAAAAAAAATGTTACCTTGTTTAATAAAGTATCGTCCCGACAAGTATTTCAGTGCGGACCTGTATTTGATCGTGCGGTCTTGGAGCAGCATGCCCTGACCTGTGAGGTCTTAAGTCACCTGATTCACGAGCCCTTTGTACTACATTACATTAACAAAGGCACGAGGGGTTGTTTGCACTCGATTGGGAAACCGATTCGCATAAATCCGTGATGCATCCGGGAGCATTTTGTAAAGACTGCCCCCCCGTAAATAAGAAGTTCAGCATTTTTGTAAACATGTGCCATTTTTGATTTCGTTTGAGCCACGCAACAAACACTACTATTCACTAACGCGTTATCGACTGACGAAAAACATCGTGATAAACGTTTCAAATTATTTCGCTTTTTTGTTTCCGATGCGATGAACCGGTCAGGCGGATTATATCCGTTGTCGCCAAACACGAACATATTATTATTGAGACAGGGCGGTACTCAAACTTCCAAAGGGCTATAACTTTGTTACTTTAATTTTACCAGAAAAATGGTAAAGGAAAAAAACATTTCTTTTGATCAGATCTACTCACTGTTAAAATAAATGACTCAACTTCGAAGTTACCCTGTATATATAAATTTCCATGAAGTAATTTTCTGTTTACTTATCCGGAAATTTTCAAAACACACTGGAGCTATAGCAAACAGATTACAAAAACCCTTTGAAATCGTGGAAGCTAAACAGATGCAACCCTAACCAATCACCTAACGTTAACCTTTTGAAATCATGATGACGGCTTGAGATCACAGCTCAACAGTTGGTTAAAGTCGAGCATTGCGCATGTGCGAACTGTTGATCCTACGGCCGATCCAAGAACTGCGAGAACCAGCTCAAGATTAGTTTAGAACCAGCAGAACTGTTTCCGAGATCCCTGATTAAATGGTTCTGGCTGTACTGCAGACGATGTTTACGAGACTGCGCAGGCACGAAATTCCCGCGTAGACAGTGTGGAATGTTGAGAAGAATCGATTAACTACGAGGGATATCTTACTACCGGAAAGAGGTTAACAGCTCATATTCAAACATTCAGCTGACCGAAAGCCTTTGGCATTGACGTCAGTCTGAACAAATAGCTGAATACGCTTATTTAACATATTACGTGTGATGTAAAATATGATGTCCCCAGTTGATCTCAGGTTTCAAGGTATCTCAGACACGTATCGCAATCATAAGGCTACAGTTGTTGGGAAAAACGCTGGGGTTGTGGGACATCTGAAAGGGAGTTGCAAGGGCAGGTGCAAGCTTCAGTACACATATCTTCAATACGTCATAGGAAATGTACAAAAATTAAGTTTCACTGTAGTACCGCTCACAAGGTGGTGAAAGAGTGATGCATACCTTTCAAGTTATACAGCGATCGTCCACCAGATACTACAATCTGAATTAGTTTGTAGTCATAGTATTTTCTGACGCATTAGGTTAGGATTATTCGCCAATCTGCAAGAAAAATGAAACAAAAGCCACTGGCTGAAATGAATCTTGATGTTTTAGAATTACCAGTCGGTATGGACCCTGTTGTAGGGAAAAATGTATGAATATACTTTACAACGAAATTATAATCTTTAGAATAAATGGAAATGCCCACAGAGATGACAAAAAATTTGGGTAGGCATTTTTTTTAAGTAATGCAGCTTATCAAGTTCCTGCTTCAGAACTTGGAGAACATTAAAATGTATTACGTTATAATCTACTTCGGAAACACAACCGACACTCTCCTCTGTGCCAAAAAAGTAACACCGTTAAAACTCCTTAGTCGCCCCCATGGGAACTACGGAAAATCTTTCTCGGTATCGGATCGGTTTCGCAAAGAATAGCGGAAAGCTAACTTTTCCAATGCTCCATCGATGCGAACGTCTTACTTGGATCAATTTCAAGCGGGAGTAAAAGACGTGAGGGAGGATAACGAAGGGAAAACTTGCCCAACAAAAGCTTTCTACAGCTATAAATACCCTGTCAGCTTCGTGCGAACAACCGATTTGTTCTCGTTACAGCACGAGATGTAAGCATTTGCTCTGAAGAGCTGCAAAATAGACAATGATGGCAGATAAACTGAGGAAGCTGCTATCATTAGAGCAACTTAGCTAACGTTGCTGCATCTTTGGGTATTAAAGTATCATACACAAAACATATGGGATTTGACTACCGGTCAATTTTGAAGAAATTTTGTACTGATCAAATGTTCCAATGGGCGCAAAGCCCAGAAATGCTTTCTATTGGAGCTGGTGTATTAGCCCCTTAGGATTTGCCTGCCTGCACCATTTTATGAAAACTAACTCGTCTTTAATGTACTCCAGGAGCTTAAAGATATAATAAAAACACGCATGAATACTCATATGGTCAGTCAAGTCATCGTTAGTTGTCAGAGCGGTCCGTGGGACCATAGCTCTTGAGTCACAGTGTCAGTTTGTAAGTCGGTCAGGTCTGGTAGCCCAGAAACTAGACAATTTTAAGGAAAAAAGGGAAGGAAAGGAGAGAAGGAAGAACGAGAGCAGAGGGGAAGAAGAGAATCTTTTAGGATAGGCAGCGTTTAGGCATTGTTAAAATCACTTCACAGTCTTTGATATGGTCTAAAAATATTCGATTTTTTCTAAAGATTTTGTCAAAATGCTCCAATTTTGGTTGTTCTAAGTTCACGAGTTAATTTTGATTACAGTGCGAGCCGCGGCCTTTTGTGCTTGCGAACTTGCTCGACTGTGGGGTCCACTGACTCACGCAACAGAGGGTTGCTGTGCGATTCCGCTAGGCTATAGCGCCGCTGCGCCTGTTGCTTAATGTAGTCCGGTAAGGAACAGCGACGTCTCTATGTAGAGTTTCGTTAGAGACATACCATGGGGCATCAGCAATAGTGCGCAACGTCCTGCTTTGCAGAACCTGCAGATTTCGCATGTGTGTTTTAGCAATAAAACACCAAGCCGCATATGCGTAAGTCATTGCTGGTCTTATGACCACCTTATAGAGTCGAATCTTGTTAATCAAACTTAATTTTGAACGTTTACATAATAATGGGTAAAGTTGTCGAAACGTAATTTGGAATTTAGTTTTTAGTGCTTCTATATGGTTCCGCCAAGTCATCCCTTTGTCCAGAATGACACCGAGATACTTAGCGGAGGATTTCCATAGTATACGAAGTCCATTCATTGAAACTTCAGACGGAACGCCGCGACGTCTTTTTGTACAGTAGATTGCCTGCGTTTTAGAATGGTTTATTTTAATTAGCCACCGATCCGCCCAATCTAATACTTCC